GAAAAAGTACGTACTTGAAAATCACTCCAATTTTAAATTTATCGATGTAATTTTTTCAATAGTTTATTTCTAAAATAATGTTTTATTTTTCTAAACATTTAATTTTGATGTTATGTAAACTTATTAAAAAAACATCATTTCACTTCAAATAATAATGGTAATACACTGACAAGCTCGACCCAGCGACAGTTGGTTATAAGGGGTTTCAAATTTAGGTCAATTGACACAAGTTGACTTGCTACGACCGATAGACCAATTTGATTTCTTACATATATAAATGGAAGCATAAGTAGATGGACCTATTATTTACATAAATAAACCTAAACCAAATTAGTAATAATATTATTATTTTTGTAGACAATATTGAATATTTTGTACGTACTTTGATGCGTTTGAGTAAACATAATTAAGCAAGAAAATGACAAATAAATTAATAAATTATTGAGGTGAAGAATATAATGGATCCATATCGTTCTGTTCAGCTTTCGTTATCTACATCGGAAAAATGAAATATGAATTATGTCTTTTCGTATATGTTAATATTACATATATTTAATTAGAAGGCTAATGCGCCACCATAAAATACCAAAGAAATTTCTCATGAGGGTCCATTTCTTGTCGTATATATATATTCCTCCATACAAAATACAAAATACAAAATAGTATGTACACTGGCAGAATACTGGAAGGGAAATAAAATAAACGGTTTATGAGACAACCTCCTCTAAAAAAAATTGGGCAAATGATAAATACACCCATACAAAAGGACTTAAATGCATCCAAAAGGACTTAAATGGACATAGTTTCAGACATAAAAACAATTTTACAAATAAATTCCTCACCGTATTCTTTTTCTAAAATACCTTCTATCATATAATTGGCATCAATTTCATCCATTATACTTTAACTTTATCAATATTGCATACTGACCCCGAATTAGAACAAATACATCACATTAACTCCCACTTTCATAATTCTTTTAAATATTTTTTTTCAAATATTTTTTTTTTCCGGCCAGATTCAGGCGTTGATTTTTTCTTTTTTTAAAAATTTTATTTTTTTGAAATTATTTTCGGCCGGTCAACCGCCATTGACTGCCGGTCTCCGGCGTTGATTTTTTATTTTTATTTTTTAAAAAAAATTCTCTCTAAATTACTGTGTTAACAACAAAATTATTGTCTGAGATAGTTATATTGAATGCCAAAAAAATAATATTATTAATATTACTGTCCCAAACAGTAATATTACTGTCCTGGACAGTAATATTATGAATATTACTTTCCCGAACAACAATATTACTAATATTACTGTTCCAAACAGTAATATTATGGTATGAGACAATAATGTTACTGTTGGAGTTAAATTACATAAACAATAGAATAAAATAAGTCAAACAATTAAGGGAAAAAAAAGGCAAATAATGTATATCAATTTACCTGCAAAAGTGTGGTGCACCCAAACAAGGTCTTGGAATGCATTTGGTTGTATATCCCAACTCTCTGCACAAATTGGTCAGACAGGCTGAACCCCACGAGTATGTACCGACATTCTCAACTTCACCCTATTACACGTCTTATTGGGGAATAAAATTGACTCGATCAAAAATGCCAGATAGATCTGGACCCGACGTTGGCTGGTCTGATCAAGAATCAACAACTTCTGGACCCGACGTCGGCTGGTCTGATCAAGAATCAACAACTTCTGGACCCGACGTCGGCTGGTCTGATCAAGAATCAACAACTTCTGGACCCGACGTCGACTGGTCTGCTTAGGCATCAACAATTGCTGTTGTAGCATCCTCCATGTGGTCTCACCCTTCTTCCATACCTCATCCACCTCGTCCACGTCTAGGCCCATAATCTCGGACAAGGCATGTTTGCAGTAAGCTTTCTCAGTATTGGAGAGTAATAGCCATCTCTCCCCACGACACATGGAAGATGTTTGTCTCAGACTGTCACCGCTCCACGAAGGCGTACAACAACAGACCATCTATGCCCGAAATGAAGGATAGAGCTAAGGGCAACAAACCGATCAGCTGCAGAAATTAAGTGTCCTCAATCACATCTATGCTTTCAAGAGCCAAAGTTTGATCAATATTTTCGTACGTGAACTTGTTAAGGGAGGTGATACGGGACTCCACTCGTCCAATCAAACGCTCCTGCAATTAGTCATTTAGTACACATATTAGTTAATTAAATTAACTTAATATGTAACAATTAAATTCATTAAGTAAAAACATTATCTAACTTACCAATCCCTCCCAAATTTATGCATCTATGTGCGACTTGAAACTCGAAATTAAGGTGTGAATAAGTGGGCCACCCGGTAATGGACCATGTAATAAATGAGGATCTAACAGCGCACGGTTCCGACCGCCACGACCTCCAATTGCACGTCCACCACCTCCACTACCTCGACAAGGTACATCAACATCCATCTCCGAAACGGGCTCTATCACCTCCTCCTCAGCATGGGAAGGGCCGACATCAGCATCGACATGACCAAACCGACATTACCAGCTCCAGCAACTCTCTCCGCAGCTCTCCGTTGTCGCACCAACATAGTCATACGCTCCCGTTCTCAGTGCTCAACATCAAAAGCAACTGCTCGCATAGATGCCTTCACTTTGCTTGCCATTGATGGAATAAGACATTAAACAAATTAATTTAATGTATAGATAATCATAAGTAATAATAGTTAATAAAAATAAAAATAAGTAAATTGTAGTGTATCGTGTAAAATTAAACAAAACATAAGCTCAGTTTCGTGTAATTGCACACGAAGTGGGGTATATATAAAGAACTTCTCCATTTCGTGATACTAAGCACGAAACAGAGGGAAATTTGTATTAATGGGTCCATTTCGTGCAGTCTACACGAAATAGAAGCTCATGTTTCGTGTAGATTTACACGAAATCGAACCATTATTTCAAAATTAGTTATGTTTTGGGCTTAGTATCACAAAATAAACTACTTTTTTCGTGTTTTGTGCATGAAGCTGACAACTTTTTTTATTGGGTAAATTACACCCACACCCCTGAGATATGCTAAAATAACTTTAAGGTCTTTGTAGTATCAATACTTACACTCATCCCCTGAAACATGGTAAGAAACTCTAATGGGATAATGCATTGGATACGTTATTTCAATAGAGTGCTAACGGACTATTAGCTTTAGGAAGTGGTGGAAACAACACAAACTATTGGTGATTTAAGAAATGTTGGGGAAACCATGTCACCTTCTAACTCTATGTTGTCTCCACCACTAGCTAAAAAAAATAGTCTGTTAGAACTCTATCGAAATAACATAACCAATGCATTATCCTATTAGAGTTTCTAACTATATTTGAGGGGGTGAGTGTAATTATCGATACCACATGAACCTTAAAGTTATTTTAACATATTTCAGGGGTGCGGGTGTAACCCTTTTTTATTCTATCGATTCAACAAAAAAGTTGAAACTAAGCGCTGTAATTTGTAAACTAAACAACAGCAAAACGTTAAATTTATGTATTAAAGTAATTTGTTACCTTAAATTGTTGCCGAAATTGTTCGTTTCGATTTGAGAGAGTTTTGAATTTCTTTTAATAAAAGTTACAAATGAAATAAAATGCAAGGTGGTAAAACTTGCACTATGAATATCATTTCAATTTGATAATATAGAAAGTGTTTTAGCATTTCGATATTACAAATATAGACGATTTTTGCAGTTTGCTCATTTTGTCAGCTTATGCCTTAAATAACTTAATTATATTTTTCGTCTGGTCTACAAAATATTGCACACACCTTTATGTTGACTAAATATTCATTTCCTTATAATAGAAAAATTGCAATGAAACACGGTTTTATCTATCCTACACCCGGTGAAGGTTACACCGGGTGGTTTTTTACCGTTGATCTACACACACCAATGTGGGTGTGTGTATGTTTGTGTGTATATGAATGGTAAAGATCTACCCGGTGTATTTCACCCGGTGTAGGATCTCAAAAGCCATGAAACACTACTAATCTCCTCAGCCTAGCATCCCCCACCTATTCCTACCTTAGGACGTCAACTCATATACATCTGGATCCCACAAACGTACTTATTCAGGTTCTAAACCAAAAAAAAAAAAAAGAAAAACAATTGTATATTGGAAAATTTGTTTACCACTACAAATTATAGTACTGTAAGAATCCTTTTTGTTTTCTAGAATTCGATGGGCTAAAACTAAAATTACGAGCATGGGCCACAACTATAAGACTAGCAAATCCGTAGCCTGCATAGTTAAACAATAAAAAAAGCTCAATTATTAATTTAAGGGTAAATTACAAACACCCCTGAGGTATGGTCAATTTACAAAAAAACCCCTCTTGTTTGGATAATTACATCTACCTCCTCAACTATGATTTTTCCTTACACCCCCACCCTTATGATGACAAATTCAACATAATCATCTAGATTTCGTGGAATGTGCTCTAGTTTGTACTCGTTTTGTGTAAAAAAAAATACATTTTCTTATGCACCACAAACTGATATATACAAGCCAAAAAACACATATTATGATCATATTGCTTCAAAATGTAGAGTTCGAATGAGCTAAAGTGGGTACAAAAGTGATAATATTCCATATAATCTCAAAGATTCCGCTAAATTTGAGGAATTAAAGGGGTGGTTATAATTATCCAAACAAGAGGGGAGTTTTCGTAATTTAACCATACCACAAGGGGTGGTTGTAACTTACCCTTAATTTAAATATCTATTTTGGTGCCTGGTTAACAATTAAGCTTTTGATTACATTATTGTGATTAACTTCTTTTTTTATTTATACTATACTACACCTGGAATGAAATACACCAGGTAAATCTCTACAATTCATACACATTACCCATGGTAAAAATTCACACGGTATAATCCTCATCGGGCATTCCTTTGGGCTGCCATATGCATGATTAAGGGGTGGCGGCCCCCTGCATTGATTACAAATATTAACCTGCTACATGCGACATTCTTCCGATTATCTAAAATGTGAAAAATATGGTGGTGGTCCCCCCATAAGAAATATAAATATCCATAGTAGTAAGAGAAGATGCATATGATTTTTCACACATGACAGTTGGCCATTGAATTTTATCTTATATATAATCCGCAAAAATTGAGACCAGAAGACAAGTGCATTAAACAAGTTAACATAGAAAAAGATAAACATCAAACCAAGCTAGCAAAAGGACAAAATGGTCAGAAAATTATGCATGTGTGGGCCCACCAGTGATTTGAATGGTTCTTCCTACAGTTGCGAACTCCTTCCAACTTTCACAAGTAGATATATAAATCCATATCCGTAGTTTGATCCTTAATCCTCTTGCGGTTCGAATACATGCTTTAGGATTATTCTCACAGTATCCACAATTTCATCTTCTTTGCATGAGGTCACAAATTTTACTGCACAACCAAATTTCGAAAAGATCAATCAATGTGTACGGATGAACAAGGTAGTCAAACTACACTTGAAAAAGATAACATAGGCATCGCAAAAAGTCAACCAAATTGGTTTTCAGTTTTCACAATACTCTCTTGTCTTCTAAAACTATTTTGTGATTGTGGTGTTGATGGACCACAATTTAGGTATTGCATCCAATCTGATGATTAAATTAGTCTTAATCTATATTTAATCACTAAGAGTTAGTCATAAGTGTGGTCGTATCACATAGCTAGGTGTCGAGTCAATTAGAGCTGAAGATGGGTCGAATCACTTCTTTATCGACCGATCAACCGACCCACCCGACTTTATTGAATGTTCAAAATCATTACCGACCAGACATTTATGGATCGCAGAACAATTGGTAACCACCTTTACTCGGTCGGATTTTTAAAAGTTGTTCAATGACTAGAAGCTCAATCGAGAATATTTTTCATAATCAATCCTTAAGATTAGAAACTTTGGCGCTACATCCTTTCATTTTAGACATACACATATCTTTGTAGTGTGAATGTACATACACAAAAATATGTTCATACATAACCAGCATATTTTAATTAAACCCTTACAAATAGAAAAGATTTGCCTAATAAAGCATAAAACTAAACCAAATAACACCAGAGCCCCAATTAGAACACCTATAAATACCCCAATCAGGCCATTCACAAGGTTCACAATTTTATTTGCGAGTTACAAGTTTTCTATCTAAATATTTATCAGGGTGAATTGCATTGTGCTCCCTTAAGCTTTAAACCCTACGATTTAAAAAAAAAAAAAAAAAATACGAACTTCCTTTATGGTCTGATTTCAACGAATGTTAATTAAGCCTGTATGTCTATTGACTTAAGCCATCGAAGAGTCTATTTTTGGGCCAAAAGAAACAGAGGGGAAGCCAGGTCAGAAACGACCGAAGGAATAAAGATGATCGTGCTTATCCGTACGGGGATGAAAACAAAAATTGTCATTAATCAAGAACTATGTCTAGATGGAAATTCATGACGGAAGGGTAGTTGTGGAAAAACTCTACCCAAAGCAAATTATATCTAATGTATCTTCATTGCAAGAGACGTGATTAAGCTGTATCTAGCCAACACTGCAAAGTCTACTATACTTGCAGGAAATGGTATTCAACAAATGGAGAAAAACGGTTAAACTAATAGAATAGCCTTCCAATTGTTTTGTACAGACTCCTAAGTTCTCTTTCTATCTCAGCTTTTGTATATTCTCACAGCCCAAAAAGTATCGAAGTTCGTCAAACACTCTCAGGTTTTTCTGTAAATTTGGAGGCTCTATTGGCCAAAAACTGATAAAACCTATAGACTTTAAGAAATAGTAATCCTTTCAACAGTGATTTTATTTACGAGTCATTATATGATGGTTCATATCCTGTGGAGAAACTAAGAGCAAGAACAACAAAAAGAACGTAGTGCAATTGATTAAATTCTTACCCCAAGGAAGAACCGGAAAGTCCCACCTCTGTGGAGGTACTGTAACGACATAAGCAACAACCTGAAAAACAAAAATCGAAGACTGCTGTTAGAAAAAACTGATAAACGGTAAGTGAAAGTAAACATATTAACTGAAGAAACAACGTAAGACATGCCACTATTGATGCGGCTAGAGCCTGAGGAGAGCTGTAAAGAACTGACGTCTCTTCATTTTCGTAAAGCAGATCCATAACATCCATACAAGCTTCGAATTTCACGTGCTCCCCAACTCGGGCAACTACCCTAAGTTAACACCAACAAGAAAATAACATTAGTGAATTACATCCATTAGGATAGCCTTATCAAAATATAAAACAGTAAGAAATCGAAGGGTCGAAATAACTGAAAGCTGAGAGAGAAACTTTACTTCAATTGAATAAGAAGCTCTTCGACGAATACAAAAGCAATATTTGACATTCCAATCTCAAATTCCAGTACCTTAAAGAAAATTCATTATTTCAGACAAACAACGGAATGAGACCCATTGACCAGAGATAACTGAATAGCAAATGATATAAATTTACCTGCATGAAGACCATCTCCTGTATATTCTTTGTCAACCGTTACGCATAGGATGAAAATAAGACGGGACCTTAGAAACATTACTGAAACAAATATCTTACAGCTTCCAAAAGATCCCCCTTTGTGTAATGCTGCTCCTTGATAAACTTATCTGCTAACGATTTCAAGGTTTTAACAGATAGGGGAGGTGTATTATGTGCCTGCAAAACAGTGAATTATGGTAGGTTAAGAAAGATGGATATTGAATCTGGAATAGTAAATAACATTTACTTACTTTGCTCGATACCCATAACGAAACCAGGGCAAATAGCTGCAGATTACTTTCTCCAACTGGACGTAGAAGCCAATTTTCTGTGCCGCTGCTATCTTCAAGTCTTTAAAGATATTGAGATAAATATATAAATGATTACAAACCATAATTTGGAAGAAAACAACATTCAAATCATGTAGAATAGTATCCAGCACTGTATCAGATTATCAGTCGGCTTTTTTTTTTTTTTTTTTTTTTTTTTTTTCAAATGTGATCTATCATTCAGGATCCATATGAAGATACCATCAGAAAATTTTGTGACTTGCAAGAAACTGATTTATTCTGATTGCGCTCTTCTCGGTTAGAAGAAATATAATACAATACTTGCCAGACCTACTTAGAGACATTTCTACTCGTTGACACAACTTAGGTAATTGACGACTGGAAGGCTTAACTCGATTACTGATAACAAAAATAACATCACCAAATTAAACACACAAAATTTCTTCTGATTAAACCTCCTATTCATCAACAATTATGGCGTTCTCATGTTACACGAAACACAAATGATTACGGAAAACAAGCTGGTAATGAATTACACACTCGCTGTTGAATCGCCAGAAGCCAAGATCAGGACAATGATAAAAGTATTGCAGAAGAGCAGTTGTGAATGACAAGAGGGGACGACACAACACTAAGACATCCCTTTTTCACATTTGTTCCTTTCCCTCAACAAAACAAACACTCGACTTCCAAAATCAGAAACGAAATTCATATATCCTGGAGAAACATGAAAATATTTTTCTCTTGTAATTTCAATCTTACCCTAGACATCTCTTTGTATTTTGAGTTAGCTACAGGTTCTCAAACTAATAACGAACTTGCCATTATCATACAATTAGCTCTTCTACTTCCAAAGGCCATTGTTAGATGTCAAGGGTTTGATTTTAGAACAAATATTCCACACTTGACATATAACAACGTTGATTAAGTAATTAAGTTTCCCGTGGATAAAACGGGACTATAGGTGTGCATCACTTCTACAGATTTAAGCAAATCACCAGACATTCGTCAACACTATCCATCCATCCATCCATCCATAACGCCATAAAGTGCAGCAAACAATGAATTTAACTTTAGGTTGTGTTCTTACTCGAAATTCTCAGTTAGAATTTGAAATTGTATAGTTTTAATTAATGTCACAAAAAATCTATAAGGGGCTTTAGCATAAGTGCCGAGACTAAACCATGTTATCTTATTCGGTATCGTTATATAACCTAATTAAATCCAATGATTAGCAATAAATTCTTACACGTAAAATGTAGACCGCAAGTTCCGAAACCCGTCACATTCGTACTCATTTTTTCCACATCCCACCATTAAACCTCAACTTCACTGTCATTTTTCCCCAAGGTACTTATGATACGATAACTTACTACTAGATATAAAGCGGATTTGAGACTTAGATCAATAATGAGTTTAGTAGTATGCGAAATATTTCCTGCACTCACATCTACCCTAAGCCCAATAAAAGTAAAGGTAGAAAAAACTCCGAACAATTACGAAATTAAAATCAAATCAGAGCATTTCACCACATCAGACGATCTTTCACAGATAATTAACACCTTTTGCGCAATTAATTTAAAACTGGATGTAGTTTTACCTGGAGAGAGCAGGATAGAAGCGGTCGGCGAACAGTGATAACGCCGAGTACTTGACGATTGGCAGAACTTCCAGCAGCTTTCTCCAAACAAATGATAATAATTTAGGAAAATTCAAGCAAAAACCTAAAATTGTAATTGATTTTGTTGTATAGAATCAAAAAATGGGCGAAGAATATGAAAATTAAACCTGAGATGATTGAATGTGGAACTCGATCACTCGGGATCTCACGCATGGGCAGAGTCCTTTCTTCTTCTTCTTCATGGCGTTGTGTCTGAAAGAATGTGCGGGAGGGAACAATAGCATAAGCCGAGGGATATGGATCAAAACTTAAAACGAAAAATCAATTTACAATTAGTTTATTAAAACTATCAGTTGAAATGCCGCTGCAATATGCTCAAAAATCAAACTTATCATCCCCTGGTTCAAGCTAGTTAATTTATTTCAATTGCTTAAAAAAAGGGGTTAATGAGATATAACCCCTCGTTAGGAAAAATATTAGGACTAACCACCTTTCATTATTTTTAACTAGTAATCGAACCCGTGCGTTGTACGGGATTATATATTTCAACGAAATGACACAACAACAACAAATGTGTTTATTAAATCGGGGCAATAAACCACAAATTGTCACAAATATAATATACAGTTGCTGCTTTACACTTAAAAATATTCATATAAAAAACCATTAAAAATCGCACTTTAACCGCTTAGAAGATGCGTGCACTTCACCGGTACCCAAGGCATTACTGCAGATTAACAATAGCATTATATATGAGTTCAATTAACACAAAAAAATTATTGAAAGAAAAAATGTGAAACAAATATATGGAAAACAATAACCATTGATGTTGTGTGACAGCTCATTCTTTGTGGCAATGCATTCATTTTAATGATATCGCATCTTCACACTCAGTGAATTAATAAGAACACATTATGCACAGTAAAATGTATGGCTTACATAAGAACTAATGTGAAAAACTGTAAATAAAAAATACCTTAAATTTTGAAATACTTCTTTATAAACAACGTTTGTTGTATTTTTTGAAGTATTTCCTTCTTTGTCAACTATAAGTATCTTCAAACCTTTTCGAGTGGTAACCCTCGAAATAGCTACATATAGTTGTCCGTGTGAGAAAACAGACTTTTCAAGATATAGACCAACATTTTGGAGGGATTGACCTTGGCTTTTATTTATTGTCATAGCGAAGGAAAGAACAATGGGAAATTGTCTCCTCCGAAAGTGAAACGGAATCCTACTGTCTGACGGTGTTAACGACAATCTTGGAATGAAGACCTTATGTCCGACATTAGAGCCTGATATTATTTTTGCTTCCAAAACGCGATTTCCCAACCGAGTAATGGTCAATCTTGTACCATTACACAACCCATTGGACTGGTTTATATTCCTCAATAATATAACATGAACACCTCTTTTCAGCTTTAATTCATGGTTTGGCAGACCTGAAGATGTAATAGTATTCAAAAACTCTGGAGTATGAATGTCATGATGTGAGTCGACACTCTCATTCGCCGTACATGGACTATCGAAACTAAGATAAACTTTTTCCTCTTCCGGAACCAAAGACAGCATGTAATCGTTCACCTTCTCAACAATTTCATTAGTAGGTGCCAATATTGCTCGCTGTTGTTAGTATTCAGAATCCATGATATTAGTAAGCAAATTTGGGTAAGTTTCTTCAACAATAGACGCTAAATGGTTACCTGATGATTTTAAAATCATCAGGTATCTCAATGTCCATAACTCCATCATTGTCATCACCATTAGTACTATCGCCTATACTCAACACCCAATCTGAGAAGTTCTTCAGTTCCTCGCAATTAGAACTTGTTAAAGAGAGCCTCATATTTTTTGTTAATGTTAACACTTCACAATGCTGCCACAAATGTGAGGAATTTATGCTCGCCGACACAACTTGTTGTCTTGTTCCCTTTGGCACAACATGCAATATTTGTCTAAAATCACCTCAAAAAACAACTGTTTTGCCACCAAATGGTTTGTTCTCATTTTCAAGATCAAACTGGCTTAGGATATCCTTCAAAGATTGATGTACGGCTTCAAAACAATGCTTGTGAATCATCGGAGCTTCATCCCAAATGACGAGTTTCACTTTCGTTATCAACTCCGCCAAAGGGGACTCACATGCAATGTTGCAAGTAGATTCTTCGTGAACATTAAAAGGAATGGCAAACCTCGAGTGAGCTGTTCTTTCACCATGACTGAGTAAAGATGCTATCCCAGTTGATGCGAGTGTAAGTACTATTTCACCTTTTGACCTTAAAGTTGCCGAAAGCGTTCTCCAAATATAGGTCTTGCCAGTACCTCCGTAACCATAAAGGAAAAATAAACCACCACGTCTTTCATTTACACGAACCATAATTTTATCATAGACAATCCTTTGTTCGTCATTGAGACTTGACAATAACTCTGAATGTTCGGCAGCTAATGCACTTTTGTCATAATTAAGTGTTAGAGTAGGTGACCAACAAGCCAACTTGTGGTTGTGGTCTTTCACATTTATTATGGTAATAAACGAACCTTTTTCGTATTAATGATAAAACACCTTGGCATTCTATATCTTTGTCCCTTTGTCACAAGCATAGATATAGTCCTTACAGTTATTACAAGTACTAGTAATTGATCGTTAGGATCGTGAGATATTTACTTAAGTATTATAACTGTTAAACGTGTTCCTAGTCGAAGGGTTACGCCACCAATGAGGATATCAGTCTTTCCCATTAAGAGACTAGCACTTAGTGTGTGTGTACTTCATCTCACCAGTAAACGGTATTGTGATATCGGCATGCATAAGTGGGTGCTCGTAAGTTGACGAGTCCACTGAACTCCCTCACCCTAGAAATCTCTAAGTGGTTCCCAATAATCGAGTAGAGATATATGTGGTATAGTTGTACACCATTAGTCCTTATGACCTAGACATCACCGTGACTTCACTAGAGGACCAGCTGTATCGTGACCTGTCCCTGAGTTCCACCGAGGACCACCCCAATGCCCAGTGTTCGTCCAGTCCGAAATCTAGTGTGAGGCATGTGCATTGTAGTCGGGGATTCGATCGCTACAATAGTCTTGGATGTTCTGTGTGTTCTTACAGTTTGTAATCTCTCTAAGTCTCTGGCCAGAGCTGACTAAGTGATGATTAGAGAATTCGATTCTCTAAGTCATGCACGTAACGATTACAACACTTAGAACGATCGCACAGTCATTGAAAAAATAAAGAGGTCTACCAATGCCTCTAGTTCAATCAGGACATATGAATCGAAGGGATCGTACTGTACGCTAACTATATCAAAAGGTTCTTGTAGGCACTTCATTTGTATCTAGGGAATCATGATGCGTAGTTGCTAGACAACAATCTTGATTCGTTGGGTGATTAAGGTGAAACGAGTTTCATCTTAATCGTAACTCTAATGGACGAGTTTTGAACATAAAGGGTTGTGGGCCCACGGCTAGCTGACACCTGAACCATCGAGGGTCACACTGCTCGTGCACATGAGATCTTTGAATAAACGGTCAAAGGTAAAAATGGTTTATCTTTGCATGATTGTAAGTCAATATGATTGGGTCCAACATTCGTATTTGGAATTATGAATGAGAATAAGAAATGGAAAAGAATAGGCGGACATCTTAGTAGACTTTCTAAATCGGGAAGTTTCCAAATTTAGAAAGTGCACTGAATTAGGGTTTCCACTTTTAGAAAGTTGGAAATTGAGAATTTACACTCGTAATGACGAGGACATTATAATGATTCCGAAAATGTAATTGTTACAATTTTTCGATCATCGAATTGAGAGAGACGAGCAAGTAAAAGAACTAACGAACTTAAGCTGTTGGGCCCTGTCCAACTTAAGCCCGTTAGGCCTCTTTTGGTTTGATGTATGGGATAGATAACTTTCCTGGGATTATATAATTTTACACTATTCATGATTATATAGTAGCCAAAATTGTGAATTTGGTTTGTAGGATTTACTACTAAGGATAACTATAATGTAACTTTTGGTTTGGATGATAAGGACTGATAACATCTGCAATGACAAAATCACCCTTTCCATTTATGTACTGGTGGTTTCATACTTGGATTTCATTTTATCTGTGTTTTTACGGAACAAAAAAAAAAAACAATATACATATAATTTCTTTTTTGAAACAATGAAAAACTAAATTATGTTAATATAATGCATCAAGCTAATGGACAACTGAGACTGCTGCCAACAGATTACAAGTCATTATGAATCCAACTATTAGCAATGGTTTTTGCCTCTGAAATGATCCAAACCAAAAAATTACTACAAATTCATCCAAACTGGAAAGATAGAGAACAATAGTGAACCATTTTTAATGTTCATCTGGCTACACATTTAGATAACAACATTAAGTAAGGGCAAAATACAAGACAATCCACATCATTAAAGCTAGACAAATTGAAGTTTTAACAGATACATAAAAATAGCAGCTTTCGATCCAACAGTACAAATTAACTAAAAAGGAATTTAATAATACAACATTCTTGAATAATTTCACAAAGTTGACTTGTTTAGAAATGAAACTATGCATATATGCTCAAGGGTTCTGCCTGGTTCGAGGAAACAAGTCCACGCTCAGCGGTTGGCTAACCGATGATCAATTTCCTGAAATACAAATTTTTTGCAATCTAATTTAATTTGGAAAAATCCTAAAAGAAATTTTATGAATCGTGTTTCGCTTTTGTGTTGTATTATATTAATATCTAGGTAAGTAATTACCTTTCAGCACCATTGTGCTTGGTTTCATAAGAATATTTATTTTTTTAGCAGTTTTTTTGAACTCACAGCATCGCCATAGTCGACCAAAACATGTCAACAAACACAGAGGATCATATATGTAATAATAACTTATTTATTAACCTTAAACAATGTGAGTATTTTTTTACCTGAAGGGTTCATCACCACATCACCAGCTTGTTTAATAGCAACCGTTGCATCAGGATAAAACACGTGGCTCATAATCTCCGAACTTTCAATTCCAAACATATGTCCAAGCCTCTTGAAAGACTCTTCGTACGACCCAAGAAAAGACAGGTTAAGAGTCCGGCCTACATCTTCGGAAGCCAAGAACACTTTGCAGTGACCAGTGTGCAGCCCAATTTCAGACGAATGATAACCCGGTTTCCTAAAAAACTAGGCACCAGAACAATCCAATGAATGCATGGACCTGTAGATTTTGCATGCCCAATTTTATTGTTTTGCACCCATTCCCAAACATGAGCAGCAACTTTAATAATTCGAGAAGCACTCTTGGAAATTATCAAGAAACTCACCCGAGAACATATTTTTCCTTCGAGCTGCATGAAAAGAATACCAAAGACAAAATTGTTAGAATTAATAATTTGCCAAATTTGAAACAAGATTAGCATGTAAAAACCAAAAGATATAAATATATTCCTTTTCAGATTCCACTAACAAGTTAATATCCAAATGGGCAATAGATATATGAAATAATAATAATATAAATAAAAAAAAGCAAGGAATCTACCCAAAAAAAAAATGTGAAGATTTAAAGTATGTATACAAATACACGCAACAAATTCTTCTAAAATCAAAGTGCCTTTTTGAAGAGTTACAAGAAATTTAAGTATAAAAAGGGACGGAGGAAAAATAATTTTGAGAAATACGACAAATTACTCCTCGTTCTCTTGCAAGGACTGACTGCGATATTGAGCAGATGTCTGAAAAATTCGAATTAAATTCACAAGATTTCGAATTCAATTTCCGAAAATTGTTCCAATTAGATGTGTAATCGATTTCATTGAAAGAAGAATCAAAGAGAAATACTTACCCATAACTTTCAGATATTTTAAGATCTACCCGTCGTTTGTTCGGAGGGTGTTGCTGCTGTCGCGCCAGAGAAAGGGGTTCGTCGGAGACACACTGGTGAAGATGAGGAGCAGAAATTTGTGAAAGTGAGAAATTTTGTGTAAAGAATGATACATCTCAGACCCTTTTGGTCATTTCATCTTCACCCGTTATACTGATTGTACAATCCTATCTCAGAGGGTGGGATAATTTATCACCCATATGCATGATTCGGTACCGGGCCCTCAATCAATACCGGGTTTATGTCCCACATACCAAACGTCTGATTAAGGGTGACTATTCTGTCTATCACCCCTTATCCGCCAAACCAAAAGAGCCCTTAGGGTTTTATGCAAGACACTATAAATACTTGATTTATAGGTCTTGCACACAACACAACACAACACACGAACCAAACCCTAGCCGCTCTCACCTCTCTCGGCCGATCTCAACCCGCGGCCACCACCGCCGCCGCCGCCGCCATCTCGCCGGAATCGGCCAGCCGTTGGCCGATCCTCTTGGTAGCTCTTTTCTCTTTTCGTTTCTTCCGTTTTATTCTAACTATTTCGTGTCTAGTGCCACGTTTTAGTAGATCAAAGTATACGAGGTGAAATCCGAGAGGAGGAAGATTGAAGAATCGAAGAATCGAGGAGCAGCCACCGAGCTAACGACGCACGCGCCTCCACGCGCCGCCCGAAGACAGCGCGTGAACCACACGCGCCGCGGTAGCTCGGATCATCGCCGCTGCTGCATCGCCGTTGCTGCCCCGGATTGTACGGATTGGTTTCCGTGGCAATCTAGCTTCGTTTAGTGCACCTACGTCACGCTTCAAGAGGTAAAACTTCGAATCCACTGTCGTTAGATTCGGTATTATTTAAATTAAATATGCATGTTCGTTTTAGTATGAAACTTGTATGATTTTATGTGAATACATGAAATTGTTTAATTACTGCGAGCATGTTTATTTGATTTAAACGCGAGCATGCTAGTTGATTTATTTTCGATTAAGTAATTAAGTATGTATGTTGTTTTTAATTTCGTTGGAAGCGCAAAGGTACGCAATTAATTGCTTTCAATTATCGGGCATGTGTTAATGTGTTTTAAATTTGTTTAAATCGCATAAATTTTTTGTTTTCCGTTGCGTACACGTGTCTGATTCCCAACATTAAGTTCATCATAGATAAGTCTATTTTCAACTTGTGGGAGAAGAGACATGTTTGGGAACGACATTGTTGGAAAATCAGCTAGACTCTTATTGCTACTTCGCATCTTTTCTTCAATTTCCATTAGGGCAAAAATTTTCAAACCATCTTCATCAAGCTGCAAATCTAAAATATAAGAAATAATTTAATAAATTAGCAACAATGCAGAAAATAATAAATGGGAGAGAAAAGAAATTTTGTAATAAATTTACCAAATACTTGAAAATATATAAAAAAAACTACCTTCACGTTGCAGTATAGTTCTTTGCGTACGCAAGATACCATCACTAAAAAAATTCCATGTTTTATCCCAAACATATTCAGGTCGTGCCATTTGATTCGACAATGAGTTGTGAACATATTTCGTAGGAATTTAGCAAACCCCCAATGGCTTGCTTCTTCAATACCATCTATGTACTCCTTATCATCAACTAACAAACCAATTGCATAGCAAGCATCTCTAAACGTAGGATAAACCACATTATTGATGGTTCTTAACTCAATATAAGAAGAACACCCCCTAATTATATTGAGTAAGATTCTCAAATAATATAATTCACCACTTCCGGGGACTACGTAATGAATTCTTCCAACAGATAATCCATTCTTTCTAGGAGTCCATGCACATAAAGGTTGTTTCCAGACGAATTTCGCGGGGAATTCTGCTTAGGTAAGACCTTTTGCCTTGGTATATGTAGAATTTGGGTCCATCCATGCTAAAACAATTGATTGCAATACATGTGGCCTCTCAATAATCGATTCAAAAGACTCATCACCATCAAAAGATACAACTTATTCATTGGGCAGGTGAATAGGCAAAAGCTCGACTGCCGGTTCTCTAAAATGAACATCGAATGAAAATATTCGCCACATTGCTTCACATGGTGATAAGTATCTACAATCAATGTACATCTTGATCTCATCGTAATTTTCTGATTGTGAGTCACCAGCTCCTGTTCCATAAAAAGTTGCAGTAACACGATCATGACCTTTGTTGATGTACTTGAAAATATACTTAATCGATCTTGGTATGTTGCACCACTCAACATTTATATGCGCCTTGTACCTTTTCATCAGATATGGATTATAGGGCACCACAAATCTATTATCAGCATCATTTTTTCCTTTTTTAACTACCCTACCATTATCCCTTCTCTTGTATAGTGGGTAACCGTCTTTATCATTAGAGGTTCGATCATTGAATTTTTTGGGAAAGTGCCTTGTACACTTCCCATCCTCCATGCATGAAGCGGTTGGATTAAATACACCACATGGACCATGGATCATAAGAGAAGTAACAGAACTATGAAGCACATGCCGATCTTCATTTTCATCAGGGATTTCAGCAGATATTATCTTGTCGATATCTTCCGGACTTGCGTACTTGGAGTCAGGATGTAAGAAGATAAGTATATGAGCATGCGGTAGTCCTCGCTTCTGAAATTCTATTGTGTATATCACTGCATACAAAATAGAAAACTCATATTAATAATTAAGTAAATGCAGGAGATCTTGCTCATGTAATATCAATACAATAAAATAGTCATAATGTACCGACAAATTAGAAATGCTGAAATATAATAATTCTTTGTAAAATGATCATAATTAGAAAATATGTTAAAATTCCACAATGAGGTTTTTGTATATAATAAGTGTATGTAATAATAATACTATATTAATATGTTCTTTTACAGAAAAATATTATAGTAATATTATTTAACTTATTAAGTACGTCAATTCAAATAAATTTTATAATTAACATAAGTTATTACTAATTTTATAATAATTAAAATAAGTCATTGTAAAAAAAAATTGAAGATTAAACTAATATTTGACAATATTATATAAATGTTATCATAAGTTTCAAAAAGATTTTACGTAGTACCTGATTTCACTTTTCCGAATACTTTTCCCCGTTTTATCTCCTTGATGAACTGATGGAGTTTTATTTTAAAAACTCGACAAACAATATCCGGTCTATCTTCAGCTTTCAAACCTTTACCCTTGAAAAATTTTGTTATCTCGATCCAATTCTGATTGCATGTGAAAGTAACAAATAAATCAGGATATCCAGCCCATCGACATATAGCCATAGCATCTTGGTAAATTTGTATCATATAGCGAGCTCCATTGATAAATGTTGCTGGTAATATGACACGTTTCTCCTTTTTTGATGAATTATTTTCTCCTCTCAAATATGCTACTGAAAGACCCTTGTACATGTCAGCCCTTAACTGCTTCTGATGCATCCGAAGATATGCTAGACGGGCTGATTCAATCGTACTAAAAAAATCGGCCGCAAGTTGTTGGAATAGACGTTTGGAACCCAAAATTGTTCCGCTCTCAATGGTTCGCATTTGAATTCGAAATGCGATGAATTCTGTCATTGACACTTTCCATCTTTTATTAGTCACCAAATTGCTCCTATCATTTAGTGCAATGTCATCTCTGTAACCATCTTCACCACGTGGAAACAACAACGGATACTGAAGTGGAAGATAAGCTGGAGATACTATAGAAACACGACGCAGTAACCCAGATTGTGTCTCGACAATAATGTCTCGCTCAGCATCGTCAGAATCAAAATCACCAACTATAAGTGCTGCTACTTCAGATGCAGAAGGAAGATTGTATCTTCTAGCATCATGACTTCTCTTTCCTAAAAGCCATAATTTGACTTAACGGAATGCTGGACTTTGAATTTTATCTCTGACCATTCTGTAAGACTGCGCGTACAAATTGTACTGATCGAGCATATCCTTTAGATCTGTAACAATAGAATTTGATAGTTCATTCGAACTTGATTTCATCCTATAACAAATACAACATATAAGGCTATGTTTGTTACGGTTTTCGAATTCTTTTCACTCTTTCCCCAAAATAAAATTATTTTTCTACAATATTTTCATTAACTTTTCCCAAAAAAAAGTTCAAATGTTTCTCTTTCTAACAAGTATGATTTCACTGCTACAATGAAAATTGTTTTCACTAAAATACAAACTAAAACCACTTTATAGTTCATATTCTTCTTCCAAAATACATTTTACCAACACCTTTACAAACTAAAATCACTTTATCGTTCAAATTCTTCTTCCAAAATACATTTTCTAACACCTTTTAGATATGATTTGACTGGGTATAGTACAAATTGTCTCTTCTCAAAACAGAAACAACTTTATTTTATTTGCAAATTCTTATTCCAAAACATCTTTCTCCAGAATAAAATGGAAACGAAAGCCTAAAAGCTTACCAAACATAGTATTTTGTTTGTTAAAATCCCATATAATAGATAAGTGTATAAATTAAACTAACATTTGTAAATCAGATAGATAAAATTAGTGGTATACCTCACGACATTCATTCTGTTTGATACTTCATTTTCCGTGTCATAAATATACAATTGTGCAAATTTCGGTGTTGATCCATCACATGAAATTAAGCTTCCGATGCGGTGGTAGTTCTCCCCGCACATGATAAATGTGTGTGGTGCAGTTCCGTTATTTATTGTTGTATCGACTCTTCCTCCCAAAGACGTGAAGGAAAACATCATATTGAAGGATCGAATGTTCTCCAAAAAAAATTTGCTTCTTGCGTCACGCTTGAAATAAAGATTTTGTAGAGTTTGTGGGCAATTCGTAAGAAATGGGAGTTGAACTTTTCCTTGACTACAACATAGAAAAAATTTTGGTTGTGTAGTACTCATCACATGCCTCTCTAATTGCTCATCATACCACATCATTGCCCCACAATAACTGCATTCATAAATTGGATCACCAATGTCCCAATATTCCGTACCTTATAAGACATGGTTTATATTTATTAATATATTTACAATTACGGTAATAAGGAATTAAAACAAACAATTCAAAAAAAAAATTCATAATTAAGTAGGGTACAATACTTATAAACATACCTGAAATTGAAAGAGTTGTATTTTTATTTATTCCATGGCCAGATATGTCTTGTGCAAGTTTCCCGCTAATATCTGATTAAAATATTATTAAAATAAAATACAGAATTGTGTGCACATAAATAAAGGTGAAAAAAAATGTACGCAATATAACGAAATTAAATACCTAGAGGAATATTTTGACCGTTTCTGTTGTTTGCAAATGATTGCGAATGTGCAACCAATTCCAAATCTTTAATTAAAGAGGTGGTTGATTAATATATACGACAAATGAAAATGAATCAAAGAGAAAAAAAAAATTAAAAAATAATCTTTTTTTAAAAATAAATTTAAATTTAAAATGATAAAATTTATCTTCCAATCCAGAGGATGAATTACCTAAAATATCACATTGTTGATTAAGTGCGCATTCACCCAATGTATTAACTTCAATCGTGGATGTTGTATATGTATTGTGCGATGACGAATAGTTTTCATCTCTTGTTGGGTGAGTTGTTAACATAGATGACGAGGTTGTGCTAGAGTTACAATTTTCTTTATTGCACTCTGAATAACGTCTTTTTTTTTCCACGGCTTTCTTTCGGAGGTAGTGAAATATCCATTAGCTATAAAAAAATATGTCATCAAAATAAACGGAAATACAATTAGTTATGTTAACTCACAGTTAGATTTACACAATATTTAAAGTTTAATGCATAGTAACCATTGAAAAGGCATTTACATGAGAAATGCATAGAAAAAATAAATGGATGAGTGAGACGTTCGCAGATGACCTTCAATTAAATTCGACGGAATCTCAATCGAACAACAGATTGGTGAAACCTTGCTTTCAGTCACCAAGTGCAAAAGATTGTATAGTAAATTACTTATACTGCAACAGACAGATGGTTGTAACTGTTGAGATGAGCATAAAAACTTATTGTCATAGAAGTTTCGAATAATATGAAAGTCTAGAATGGCATGATAATTGAGGAAACCCCTTATATGTCTTAGTGGAGGAGTTGAAAAGAATGTTGAAAGTTATATATATTATGGGTGTTTACTTCCATCTACAAAATCCACCTTTACGTAAGATGTTTAATATCCATTATAAAAGAAAACTTAATCAAAACCTATAAATTAAAGGGAAAAAAATTTGTTAACAAAACGTAGAAATTAAAGCAATAAATTGATTTTTAAATGCTATTATGTATATATATTCCATGAGTCAAAGACGTACAAATTAAATCGATAAATAATTTATTTTGGTTGATTTTGGTTTTAATTTGTTAATGATTTATTAAGTTGTATGTAAAATAATAATATTTTGGTTGATTTTAATTAAATAGTATTTAGTTTTAATTTGTTATTTTTATTTTTATGCTAATTTATTTGTTATTTAAATAATATTTAATTCTAATTTATTATTTCTTTACTTAACCTCTTCTTTTGACAAATTAAATTGATATATTTATTTTAGTTATTTAAAGTAAATAGTATTTAGTTGGAGATTAGTTCGGTTTCTTCATTCAGAATAAATCATAAAAATTGATTCATGAAAATACTATATTTAATTTTTAATAAGTTGAATTTTACATATAAATTATACAACCTTCTATCCGAAGAGATAGCAGCCGATCAGTTCTCATTAAGAACTTTCAAACATAGTCGCAGTAGTAGGAAGGAACAAACTAATACAGCTCCAATAATACATCGTATTACTAAACAAACAATGTAATGTACAATTAGAAACTAAATTCTACAAATAGATCAAAAGAGAAAGAAAAATAAAATAAAATAAAAAGTAAACTGGCATAAAAATATATTAGATATACAAACATAATTAATAGTTTGAACATTGTAAAAATAAAAGAAATTAAAAAAGCCACAAAATATAAATATCTCTTCGATCAAATTAATCCGATTTACTACCATTGGAATCTTTGAGACCGCTGGAAGAGTCTGACATATATGAATCAGTCGAGCAATCCTCGTCACTGCCATCATAACATCTGTCATCATTGTCAAAGTCTGACATATCCTTATCATTTGAACAATCGCCATCCATCCTCGTCGTGCAGATCGTATACGAACTTGATTCTTTCTGCTGGTTTGATTATTCTACAACGTGGCGTCATACGAAATTTCAACAATGTTTTGATGTCTTCTCCGTTTCATAATTTTGTTTTTCATTGTATATGGATTCAAATCCCTTGTCCATTATTTGTAGGCAACGATTCTCAGGGTGGAATTTTTCCTCATCTTCATCTGATGGAGCGGTATTACAATTGCAAAAGCAACACAATTGTTTAACACATACAAATAGTGAAACGGCGATTGAAATTAATACAAATATGCCAATTTTAGCACAAAAATATCTAACTAATGAAAGTGCCATACTTGAATAAGTGCAATATAGTGCAGATTCAAATTCCTGCAAAAAAAAAGAACATGTAGAGATATTAAATATTCTTAAATCTAACATTACAACGTCCACCAGTATACAACAACTTTAGCATATAACATATATTAGAAACGAACATATGAAACACAGGTGAATTGTTGGTAAAATTAAACAAAAATAAATAAATTTACGTACGCTGGAGGATATGTTTATGTCACGAAATACAAAGAGAGCGAAGAAGATAATTTCTGTAGGAGGAATAGCGTCCTAGATGACGTTTATATAGGACACTGAGAGTTAAGATTGGCATGTTGAATTCTTGAAGAGCGTGGGAAAAAAGGAGTTACATAATGAAGTTGTGGTGTGGAGTTTGTGAATATGTGATTAGTGGGTAACAAAAAAGTAGAAAAAATAAATAACATGGGCAAGTGGGCGTATTAGGGTTTCAAAGATATGATAAGTGGCCGTACTAGGGTTTCAAAGATATGATATATTTATTCAAATGCCGGACTGATATATGAATATTTAAATTAAATATTAACTAATAATCTTGATGGACCCATTTCAAAATTGAAACTCCGTGGGTAAAAAAGACGAATTAGCAGCAAACTCCTTTTCTTTATCTTTGTATGTTGTCTGTTTGTTTCTGCCTTTATTTTATTTCCTTTAAATAAAAGGTTTAATTTCTTTATTTTATTTCCTTGTAAGACAGGTGATCAGTTATAATATTTTTTACGGTTTTTAATAGAGACGACTCATTTTTAAGTTTTTGAAAACCAGTTGAATATATTTTTTAGTCTAATATTAGCATATAAAAAAATAATGAATTAGCTAACATTTGTATTTCAATGAATTCTCATTTAACTAAAACAAATCTAATGTATATTGCAACGCAAATTAGTTGAGACAAATATGTGCTTAGATTGTTTTAAATTATGGGCCCTAGTAATGTGGAGAAATGGTTAGCTTGTTTCATGTTATGGGTCTAAGCTTATTGTATTTAGTACCCCTATAAAAGTTGCAACTGCGCTTTTCCCCCTATGAAATACTTATTTAAAAAGAAACCTATGAAAAAATGTGAAAGCCATTTACATCCATCAAAACAATATCATGTCCCAACACACGTCTACTGAGTTTATTTTTTATTTTTTTTGGGATTTCACTTATAAATAACAAAAATACATTCTTACAATAAACACAAACTCAATTGGGTTTAATGAAGAATAATTTAACTTGTTAGTATGAAATTGTAATTTATAAAGTTCTTTAAGAAACTTAAAATACGATTAAATTGCACTTCATATTAAATAATATGAATTTTTAAGATCATATTTACTTTATAAAGTTCTTTAACAAACTTAAAATTTACAATCATAATCTCAAACACAGCTCCAATACAAAATAAATAAATAAATAAATAAATATATATATCATATATATAAAATATATAAAATCTGGACCTGATCTGAATTTATACTACGGAAAGTAATAACAAAATAAGTATTACTAATGGATTTGCAACAAAACCGATAATAACAACATGAAATAACATGAAAAAGCAAAGAACTGTGATATAGCAACCACCTACCAAAATAAGTAATAAAAACGAAGAGGAAAACAAAACTAACTACATACGAAAGTTTCAAATTTTAAAACAAAAAACAAGAGTTTAAAAAACACATCATAATAAATAATGAAATTGTAGTGGCTGCACCAATAAAACAATAAAACCATAAAATCATTACTTTGAATACTTCTCTAGTTTGATTCTCTTGCAATACACAACAGTAGTTGACGATTGGGTATTTACATCAGCATCACTTGAAGAGCTAGAAGTAGTAAGTTCATCGACAAATCTTTTATCACATGACTTACTAACTGGAATTGCATCATCGTCAATTGGGTGGAAATCCTACAACGGAAAACATGACTTATAATATATATCATAGAGGGAAAAAAATAAACAAAAGCTTATGTGTATATTTATATAACAAAATTTTAGATAGAGTAATACACTTGAATTTTCATCTTCCTACTGAATAAAATTTCCAGTAACTTGATCATCTTCTTCGTCGAGTGCCTGCAACAAAAATAAATTAATAATATAATTGTAGATTGTAAAAAAATGGGATGTATATTTTTTCTTATCCACCTTCATTCCACTCTTAAATTTTTGTATCTTTTCTTTATCGTTTGTCATCGTCTTAACGGTGGAAAGCGACCAATTCTTCTTGACATTCATTTCACTGATTTGTATTTTAAATAAAAATTCTTTATTAACCAACATCTGAAACTCAACGGGAAGCGTGTTGCTCAGTTGTTCCTACAAAATAATCCAATAATAATTTAATAATCAAAATATAAATAATTTGAAAAATGATGGTAAATATTTAATGTATGATAGAAAATTATCACCTTTTTCATATTTCCAACTACCTCGCTTGCACTTTTGCCGATAAATTGTTTGACCATTTCATCAAATAGCACTAATGAAGTAGATGATGTGCTATCAACGATGGTAACCTCAATCCTATATCTGAATACAAACAGGTAAGATTTTCCTTTAATTTTATTAATATACATGGATTAATAATAAAAAAAATTAATTTATAGCCTAAATATATTATAATTTACCGAGGTATAGTAGGCACATCCCTATCACACCTCTTATAAAAATATTTGGATCCATTTGGTGTGACTTTCTTCTTACAATTTTTGCACGAAATGTACCACCATCTCTTTTCCAAATCAATTTCGAAGATTGTGGCAAGTAAAACCACGGTAGAATCCTAAAATAATAATATAAATTAATTTTGTATCCTCATGTTATATGAATCGTTGAACAAATATAATGTTAGCATATATAAAACAGCTTACCAGTGTATCTACCAACTCGGCAATACTCATTTTCTCAAGGGAAAGAAACTCGTGATTCACGGACACTTAGTGTTCACTTGAAATTTGAGATACTGTTTGAGTGACAGATTCATCTCCTTGCAAAAGTCTGTATGTTAAATATGAAAACAATAATAATTATGTTATTAGACGAAATTACATATTAAATATAATTGGTGAAAAGAAAGGACAAACAAACTACTTGTCCCTATAGTTAAGTCTCTTTCAAGTTTGGGTTTCTAAGCAGATTTGATCTCTGATTGTGAGAAGAAATATTCTTTTTACCTGTGATATAATTAAATATATATTATATTGACATGTTTATTATGAAAATAAGTAAGACGTAAAGACGAAACCTACTTGGACCAAATAACTATGTCTACCTTTAAAACTCTTTATTTTGCAAAGTTGCAATATAATGATAACCGGACTTTGTGGGTCGTGATTGGCGAAGAAACCATCCAATTTATCAGCGAATGAGTTCCACAAAGCACAATTAATTTTGTTGCCACTGCCCACGTAAAAACGAAGAAAAATAAAATTCAACATATAATTAAAAAACTAATGATGAAGTTGGTTAGAAAATTCGCTTTTAGATAAAACTATTGCAATTATAAGAGCATCTCCAACCGGACACCATAACACCATTTTTTCATCTAATTTAGGTGTTTTTAGCCTCCCACCCAAAATTCCTATATCACCATTACACCTAAAATTATAGAGATTTGGTTTTAGCCTCCAACCGTGGTCAACCCCCATATCACCAAATACCAAAATCCTATTTTTCCACCAAATTTTTTGGTGAAGAAATTTTCATCTTCCACCGGTCCACCATTTTCCTATTTTTTCCACCAAATCCTATTTTTCCTACCAAATATAGAGGTGAAAATAGGATTTGCCGTAATTAACACCATTTTATTAAGTACCATATAAAATGACGATTTTAACTAATTGCACCCGATTACCAACTTATTAGCATATTTATCGTAAATACATTGGTATTAATTATTAAATTAGTTTTTAAAATATAAATACATTTGTTATTATTAACAAAACATTAACTCTAAAAATATAAATATGCTTATTTTTAATTAATTTGTTTATTTTGTTGGTATCAATGTTTATTAGTTCATTTCTTTACTTAACTAATACGCTAATTGCTATTAATAAAATACAATAAGCAACAATAGAATAATTAACAAAACACACTTTAATTGATGAAATACAGGACGGGACATTTAAATTGAAATACATAGCTCATAAAATAACAAACAACATAACATGATAACAAAACATGATAAAGAATAACACAAATTATATAAATTTAAATCATAATAAACTGCTTATTTAAATCATATGATGGTGATGATGATGATAATAATGGTGAATGAGATTTTTTTTATGATTTATGTTGTAATATTTTATTTATGCAATAATTTATGAGATTATTGTTTATGTATGATTTTATTATATTTAAAATAATTTGAGTTCATGTTATTTCATGTTTAGACAATTTTTTAAGATTAATAACATAATTTTTAAATTATTTAGTTGAGAAAATTTATTACTTAGCATTGGTTCTATAATTAATATTTACGAAATAAAATATTATAAAATTACGATTAACATTAGATTTATAGTTTTGGGGTATATATGGTGAAATGCAGACCAAACCAAATTCCATTTCCTATAAGTGGTGAAATGGTGAAATATTATTATTTTAATATTTGGTCTAAATTTTGGTGATACCCATTGGAGACCAAAACCACCATTTTTCCACTAAAAATGGTGGAAGAGTAAAATGGTGTGCTACCGGTGGGAGATGAACCCATTTTTTCACCACCATAAATAGGATTTGGTGAAAAAATGGTGAAACGGGTTGGAGATGCTCTAATGAATTATACAATCATTCTTACTCCAAGTCTTGAAGAACTACATCAAGTAATTTATTGGTCCTTCCGTTGATGGCTATCTCCTTTGTGGGATTTGTCTCAACCACATGCCCAATTACATCTAAGAAACAGTACATTAATTGATTTCACTGTAACCGAGTGAAAATAAGTAAGAGACTGAAAATTACAATTTTACCTATTAACCAATCATCTTTGTTGTTGTTCTGAATTTGTTTAAACTCCATAAAGTCAAAGCTAACGTTAGGAATTTCTTCTGCACCGAATGATGTGATGGTGGTTGATCCAATGCTTGTAATTTTGTACCGATGGCTAGTGATTCGAGCGTTCCCGTTGTTTGGACTAACGATGAAGTTACAAAACATGTATGTTTTTCCTTCCTTCAGTATAGCTTTGAACACATTCATATGTTGTTTTTTTATGCTGGCATGTACCTTGCCGCCTACCATAAGTATATATAATGTATATATAAATTATCAACAATACACAACTATTTTGTAGACGTAATTAAAATAAATAAATACATTAAAAAAATGTTTTGCGTATCACCTTGGAATCCATGAGCAGCATATCAAGACTAACAATTACATCTTTGTTGTCATAATGCGGAACAAACCACAACAACATTACTCGTACAATAACTCTCCAAGCCATTGTAGTGGGACTAAGGTCAACAATGTTTGTGATATTGGGAGCCATTATATAAATCCTACAAAAGTTTCAGGATATAGAGATTAAAAAGTTTCTATATATATATATATATATATATATATATATATATATATATATATATATATATATATAGAAAAAGCTAATGTTCGGATGTTTTACACATGGTAACTACCTAAGTAGTGGGAGAGTGGATAAAAAAATATTCTCTAAAAAATAACTATGTAAATATAATTATCCAAATAAATTAATTAATAAAAAAAAACCATCATGTAGTGAAGTAGTGGGGTGCTATGGGGGTTACGTGTGCTATAGTGGGTAGTATGATTAGTTACAATTGAACATGGAATTTAATTTATGTACGAAAACTTACTTTTATCACACTAATTTTTTTTAATTATAAACCTATTTAATCTGATTTTTCAAAATTAGATTACCGAACTTTTTTTTTAAGAAATCAAAGTTTATTGAGAATAGGAGTTATCGTCAGAATATAGAAGTTTATTAAAAATGTCAGTATTTGATTTCTTAAAAATTAACTCCTATTCAATTATAAACACCCAACACCCGTAAAATTTTTGTTGTAATTATAAAGGTTTTTTATTTGATTTTTCAAAATTCATGAAAATTTTGATTTCTTAAAAATTAAAGTTATTCATGTTTAGAATGCATTTTTCGGACCCCAATAACTCCTATACATTTTATTTATAAAATTCTTAGTAATAATGGATGATGAATTAGCGGAGTTAATATATTATATTAACGAAATTAAATATATTATATTAATCAAATTATATCATATTATGTAACATCATAGTTTTATTTGCCTATATAGTAATATGCATATAGTTTTTTTTAAGAGAACTCTTCGAATTTTTATCTAATAAATATCTAATTAAAAGGAAAAAGAAAAAAAAATTATGTAAATAATAAGTCGCTACACAATAATAAATGGAGAAAAGAAAACGGATATCTGATGTTTGTTGACTACGAAAACATTAAAATTGCATTAATCAAACTATTTACATCGGTGATGAAAGTATAATAATACAAAAACACATTTCATAACAATAAGAAAACACACTTCAATTGTGTGTTCCAGTAGAAAACAATTGATAAAAAGAGCAAATCTAACTGCCCAAATTTTACAGATCCATCTCCAACCGGGATTATCAAAATCAAGTACAGGACCCACCACCATTGTTTTTACACGTTGTGGATGCATTGCGGTGAGATTGCAATGCGTGCACGCACCAACTCATACGTTCTGGCACGCTCCAAACAGTGGTCACAATATATGCAGCTTAAAAAAAACTCGTTCGCTGAGATTTCCTCACAATCTGACCGATTTCGTGAGAAATTTGAATCAGATTCTTCATTCACAAATACATTAGTGGATTATACTGTAGTGAAATTTGTTTCAACGCAAGGTCTCCCGCGAAGACGTTGGAACACCTTGCCAAGCAATGCGACCAATGTTGCAATAATTGTTGTGCCTCCAACGTTAACAAACGGTAACCCCTAAAGTGATAAAAGATAATGAGTTTATAAAATAAAAAAATAAATGGCACAAATTTAATGAAAACCAAAAATACCATGGTCAACCAAATAATAAAAGAGATGAACATTATGTGAAGGCATATGGTTGTCATACGGGGAGTCATTGTGCACGGAAATTATGCCTGAGTTATACAAAAAAAACAAAATCTAAATCGTTAGCAACTATTGGTGACGTGAAATTTAAAAATCTGATATAAATAAATCTAAATAACAAATATTGTATTGTTTACCTGTAGAAATCAATTGGCTACGTTGAAAATAATTTGTGAGGAAGAAGAACAAAATTTTAAATGAGCAAGAAGAAGAGGCTTGGCAAAAAAAAATTGTGATATTTTGTGGAGTTCTCGGGGGTTTAAATAGAGCAATGAAATTGATAATGGGTTGAGATCATGGTGTGATGATGAGTTAGTGGGTGGTTAAAGAGGAGAAGAAAAAAAATATATATATTTATATAACACGGTATATTCAAAATGTATAGAGAATATTAGAAATATGGGGTCCACAAATATAGAGGTTAAGAAACATCGTAATTTTAGTTTTTACTAGAGAAGAGTTTAAAGAAATAATTACCTTTTAACTTTTATTTTTTATTTTTTATTTATTTTTTTTTTTTGCAATTTATTTATTTGTTTATCATGTGGTTATTCAATTTACATTGGTATCCGTAGCCCATGAAAGAAGGAATTTTTTTTTTCTACTTTGGTCGTGTATTCAACTCAGTTTTTTACAAAGTGGAAGGTTACATTTTTTATTTTTGTTTATTGAGAATAATTTTAAAAACAAACTATTAAAATAGGAAAATGACTAAAATGTCCCTAGGTTTAGGTTTTAGGGTTACAAGTCAAAATATCTTCCTTTTATATATAAGATGGGTCAAACTCCATCACAATTAGCAATTACTGAACTATCCCCATAATTTCTAATAGCAATGACCCCCACTATTTTCCCCAAAACTGCATATCTTCAACCGTTTCGTCAAAATAATTTCTCCTCAATTTCCGCTACTGTGCTATATTTATGCTAAGAAAATCGCAAAAAAAAAAAAAATCTGCAAATATATCGGATCCTTTCCCAATCGCAACAATGCCCTAGATTGCTACATTTCTTCTTCTTCTTCAAAAAAAAAAAAAACAAATAACATTTGTGTGAGAATCGTTGAGAAATACAGGTCAACAACAACGGTGAAAGGTAGCAAGAAGAAGACAGGTAGTTTCCTATACACTCATCGCTCCCCTCGACGTCTATTAAACTAATTTATGTACATTTATCACATAATTTTTATTTTTGACACCCTCTTCAGCGACTCAGAAGGAGAAATCGAAGTCTCCTACATAAACGGTATGCAACGGTACGCGACAACCATATGCGACGGTTCGGAATTCTTCCATGGTTGATTACTCAAAAATGGAGTTTGTAAACAAGCTTGTTTTTTAGATCTACAGATCTATGGTTACACTATTTGTTGACTCATAAATATTTGTTTACTATGAAATTGTTTTATCAGAGTCCACAACAAAGAAAAGATCAGTGTTGTCGAAAACATAAAATATTGTAGTCATCTACACTCAGAGTCAACTATAAAATCGGGTAGTTCACTATATTATTCCCAAAGTCAACTATAAAAATTAGATAGTCAACTATAATTTTTACGATGTCAACTATAAAAAAATGGTAGTTAATAATATTGTTGCCAGAGTCAACTACAAAAATTAGATAGTCAACTATAATTGTTCCAATGTCAACTATAAAAAAATTGGTAGTCAACTATAATTTTTCCATTAATTCACTATATTATTTTTCAATTTAAGATACTATGGTGTTAAAAAATTGAATACTCATGATAAAAATCTCATCTTCGATGAAAACATGAATTTCGTAGAGTAGAAAATAGATTGATTTCAACGACCAAAAAATGATATATAGAAGAAAAGGTAAAGTAGTGAGAAGAATTAGAGAAAAATAAAAAAAATTGAAACAGAAACAGACGAGGAGAGAGGAAATGGGGGAAGAGAAAGAAGAGAGAGAGAGAGGGGATAGGAGAGAGGGAGAAAAAGAATAAAAGAAAAAGATACGAGAAGAGAGAAAATTGGGGATGAGAGAGAAGGGAGAGAAGAGAGAGAAGATAGGAGAGAGGAGAGAGAAAAAGAAGAAGAATAAAAGAACAACAGCGAGAAGAGAGGAAATTGGGGATGAGCGAGAAGGGAGAGAAGAGAGAAAAATAAGAAGAATAAAAGAACAACACGTTGAAATTAAGGAAAAAATGAAGAGAGAGAAATTAATGGAGAATATAAAATAGGCGGCCGTTATATGCAAGCCCATTTTTTTATTAGTTCAAACCCACATTAAAGGATTTATTAGTTCAAACCCATGAATTAATTTAATTTTATTATAGCAAGACCAAAGATGACGAATATACCCTTATCCTCAAATAATACCTAAATACAAATTAACCCTATTTTTTATTTGCACAAAATCGAAAAATAAAAAACTCAAAAGAAATTAAAAAAAAAAAGAATACGGAAAAACAAAACACGGCCGCACAGTCACGACCATGGCAGAAGACCGCCGCACGACTACCGCAGAAGACCACCGCACGACCACCGCCCAAGACTGCCGCACGACCACCACCAGACCGCCGGCGACGATCAGCAAGCCACCACCACCGTACCATCACCACCACCAAACCATCTCCACCGCACCATCACCACCACCACCAACAAGTAAGGCCCTCTTATGAAACTTTTGTTTGTACATACGAAAACATCAATCGAGCATCGATTCTTGATAAATATGTGTGGATGAACATTAATCTATACTTATTTCTTGTTGGGTTGCAATGATTTAGGCTATTTGGAAAAAAATTGAGATTGAAATTGATTTTTTTTTATTCTTCGTTGGTTCTGGAAATCGGTTTATACAGACCTATTTATTTAACAAAAATTGGTGTTCTGATGCCGATATTTGTTCACCAAATCGGCTATACAACTTCGATTTTACAAAAAAAAAATGGCGTTGTAATGTCGATTAATGATTACAAAATCGGGTTCTCCATCGTGAATGTTTGGTGTGTATTTGATAATTTCGGCGTGTAGGGTTTCTTGGTGGCTTTGTGAAGAAGAATGAGGAAATTTTTAAGTCGTGAAATAATGAAAGAAGATTTCTGGGGTTATGTATTTTATTTGGTCTTGCACAAAGGAAATATATTTTTTATTTTTTTAATATTTTGTGTTTTTTATTTACTTTTGAATTTCATTAAGGGTAAATTAGTATTTTTATGTTGGAGGTCTTGAACTTATAAAAAAATGGACTTGCATATAACGGCCGCCTATAAAATAACGGATAAGAGAGAAATAAGGAGAAGAGACAAAAAGTTGGAGAAAAATATGGACCAAAAAGGGCATAATGGGCATTAACATAAGCATAGGGGGTCACACAATTCATAAAATATTAAATGGGTTTGTCTACAAATGGTCAATTATAAATTGGACCCGTACTATATTATTTTACATAATGAGGGGGTTATCTCTATTTTTCCTAAAAAAAATTGTAATCAAAATCTTCTTTTAATTAATAAAAATTGTTTTTTTTTTTTTTGAACGAGAAATTCGATTATTAGGCGAAGTTCCCCAAATTCGTAAGAAGGATTAGACCTTCTTTACAAGCATAACCAACATGTATTAAAATCCCATCCGCAAGAGTATTACCCGATCTTTTAACAAAAGCAAAAATACAATGCTGAAAATCTGATGCTAAAATTAAGCAGTCTTCCACATAGGCTTCGAATGATGATGTCGTAAAATCTTTGTCTCGTAGAGCTTTGAAGACCTGGAGATTGTCTCCTTCGATAACAATCGCTGGCCAACTCTTCTCTTTTGCTAACTTAATCACACGGAGGACAGCATGTGCTTCTCATCGACCACCTACTCTCCCCTACTATTTCTAACGACCAGCGAATTGAGTTGATTTTTTATTTAACTATTCCATCCAATAATAATAATATTATAATAAGAATTATAATAACAATTACTTTTAGTATTTGATTACATAATTGGTTATGAGTTAAACTTCAACTTGTTAACATATCCGCGTTTCCGACACTCGTGACACCTGACGGACACTTTATGTACTATTTTGTAATTTTTGAAAAGTTAGAAACATGTTTGAATAACAAATTTCCAAATATTTATTTTACTTCTCCAAATATTTACATGATTTCATGATTAATTGCAAATTAATAGTTGATAATAATATTTATTTTGAATATATTTGTGCAAAAATATATAAAAATAAAAATTTATATATGTTTATATAACATATTTATAACTACACCTCCATACTTTCAATATTTATATG